CCACCTCCAAGACGCTTTCGGCGAGGCGCCGTGCTGCTGGAATCCAGGGGCTCGAAAGCCGACGAGGACGCTCTCGAAAACATGGAGCCACGTCCGAACCACATCCGAAAACCAGGCCTCACTCCAGATATCCGCCCAGCGTGTCTTCTCCCGCCCGCGGCCCCAGAGCTCGCGACCCCTTCCCCCGTGGTAGCTTTTCGCCCCGGACCCGTTTGCGATGGTCCTGGGGCCTGGCGATGGGACCCAGAGGCCGACATCACGGGAGAGCGCTCGGATTGCAAAAGTCGTGATGTCGTCGGAAACCTGGGCCCGTCCCCTGATCGACCGCCGAGCGATGACAAGAAGCGGGCCTCACGCAAGATGGGCGCGGCGACCTTGCGCCGCAGCTCACGCAGGCCGCCTGCGCGCTACTTTACGCGGGCAGCTTACGCGCCAATGTCTGTGCAGACGACCCAATGTTCGGAGGCCTGTAAGATTAGGTCGGGGTGCATGGGATTGAAGGATCGCGTCGCATCGGCGTCGTCGGCGACGCATCGGCCAGATGGACGTGGGAAAGATCGGGCTCCACATCGAGCCGCATTGCCGATGCATCAACAATTCGTCGCGATCCTCTGACCTACCCTGAGATCCGACGTAGCGAAACAAAATCAACATCATGAAAATCCACGGCCCAAATCCCAAACCCCGCCCTCTCCTGCGCCATCTTTCGAGCCGGATCGATCCGTGAGGGCCCCAGGGGCCGGAACGGGCAACGAAAACACGGGCTTGAAAACTCGAGACACCAGGGTCTCATGGCGGTCTAGATCCCGTCTGGGAGGCCCCGTCAGGAACCCTTGCTTTTAGCGTTGCGTCGGGCATGTCCCCCATACAGGCGGACTTTGGACGAAAAATTCGAAAGCAGCCAAAACACATGCAAACATAGTCGAAACATGATAAAACAAGTCGTCCCCATTTCTGGTTACCATTTTTGAATATTCCTCTAGGGGAAGACTCCCGTCGGGAACTCTTGCCCTCAGCGTGCCGCCGCGGCGGCTCCGGCGACGCGCCGTGCCCTGCAGGCGGATCGCGCGTGTGCCCCTCTGCTCCGCGGGGCGGGGGGTCTCGGGAGAGGCTCGGGACGCTGACGCCTGGGGGCGGGGACGCGGATGCGTAGCGAGCGTTCTCTTATTCGGCGTTTCGACGTTGGGCAGAGGGGGGGGGAGGGGACGGGGTGTCTAGCTCTGGATCTCTGCCTCATGCGACTGTCTGGAACCGTGCGTCCTCTAGGGGGGACCCCGCCTGCTTGAAACAGACGCCAAAAACAGCCAAGATCTACTCCAGAGTGGGGGGGAGGGGGGTGCGAGGGCCCGCGCCGATCGGCTAAACAACGGATAAAAAAACGATCACATACGTGGCGTGTCGCGCCAGGAGCATGGTGGGCCAGCGCTGGCGGCGCGACGCGCGACCCCAAAGTTCCCGACCGAAATCCACTGATCATTTCAGGTCTCGATCCGTTGTCCAGCACCGTTTTGTATGCGAAATCGTTTTTGTTTGTTGTTGTTGTTGTTGCTGTTGCTGTTGCTGTTGCTGTTGTTGTTGTTGTTGTTGTTGTTGTTGTTGTTGTTGTTGTCGTTGTCGTTGTCGTTGTCGTTGTTGTTGTTGTTGTTGTTGTTGTTGTTGTTGTTGTTGTTGTTGTTGTTGTTGTTGTTGTTGTTGTTGTTGTTGTTGTTGTTGAATTCTCATTTATGAAGAATAATTGTTGTTGATCCCCCTCACCGGTGCATGCTGTTTTTTCTCAATCAAAGTGTGCCCCATCGACGCTCGCACCCTTTTTTTGACAGGGAAAATCTTCCTGCTCAAACTGGCCCCCTGGCCCCCGGGTTACAACAACAACTGCTCCCGCCTGAGACTTCCATACAATTTAGCCAGGACCCCCGCTCCCGCCCGAGACTTCCTCGCATGTTATTCAGGAATCGCGCTCTCGCTTGGGACTTCTTTACAACTTATTCAGGAACCGCTCTCCCGGCGCTCTGGAGTCGCGCTCTCGCTGGAGACTTGCTTGCAGCTTACTGAAGAATGGCCTCGCGTTGGAACTTCCTGCAATTTGCCCAAGCGCCGCGCCCCCGACACCCAGGCACCCAGGAGTCGCGCCCGTTGTGGCCCCATGTGCATGCCCTTCGTGGCCCCGCTGTCGCCATTTGTGTCCCCCTCACTGTCCTACGTAGCCCAGTTGCTACCCTCAGTGGCCCCATAGTTGCCTTCTGTGGCCCCGCATAATCTGCACTTCGTGGACCCCTTTCGTTCGCGCTCTTCGTGGCCCTATACGCATTCCCTTCGTGTCCCCGCTGTCGCCCTTCGTGGCCTACTTCGTGCCCTTCGTGGCCCTGCTGTCGTTCTCTCTCGCTCTCACTTTCGCTCGTCGTCGCCGTCGTCGTCGTCGTCGCCGTCGTCTTCGGCGTCGTCGTCGTCGTCGTCGTGATCGTCGTGATCGTCGTCGTCGTCGTCGTCGTCGTCGTGGTCGGTCCCCTGTCCGTCCCTCGTGGGGTCGGGTCGACGGTCCGCGGCCGCCCCGCCGATCAGCGCTGCCGCTGGCCAGGCCGACGGTCCGCGGCCGCCCCGCCGCTTGCCGGAGCCCGGCCTGCAGGGAAGAAAGGTATACCCCCCAAAAGGGGTTCGATCGAAGACGAAGAGGGCGGGTATCGAGGGTTTGGGAAATACGCGTTATTGGACACTCGAGCATATAAGGGCGAACAATCTTTGAATTATTGTTGTTGTTGTTGGTGTTGTTGTTGTTTTTACAATCCCGAAGCCCAGCAAGGGCCCCCACAAGTAGAAAATAGCGAAAACTCCTCCGTCGTGATTGTTGCATGACTCGAAGGTGTCCAGGGATCCCATCTGGAGGCGTGAAACTGTTCGGCGTCGCTCGGCCGTCCACGGGCGGGCAGGCAATCCACTGATTGAATCTGGGAGGCTTGCGGTCGGGAACTTTTGGATCGTGTGTCGCGCCGCCAGGTCTGGCCCACCACGCTGCGGTTCGACGCGCTATCCATGTCCCTAGGCGTCAAAGTCCCGAGCTTCTCCTGAGACTCCCGCTCCGCGGAGCGGAGCGACACGCTGACAGCTTGCAAGAGATAGCGTGTCACCAGGGCCGCTGCGGCGACACGCGGAGCAAGAGTTCCTGGCCGCGGAGTTTTTTTGCGTCGCTCAGTCGTCCGTGGCCTGAACAGGGCCTGAACAAATTTATTCTTGGGCGCCGATGGGAACATCGCGCAGGAAACTGTCGACGCACTGGCATGACTTGCATACGCACAAACTGCTTCATGCATTCTCTACCCACAGGATGGGCCTCCCTCCCACCCGCCCTGTGCCGAGGTGCCCTGTCCCTCTGCCGCGGAGGAAATTCTCTGTCTGGGTGATGGCACGATCAGTAGCCAGGCCGTCCGCTGCCATGAGCGCCCTGGCGGCTGGCGTGCGACAGTGCCTCTGGAGATGGGCGCGCCACGTCCCGGCCAAGACCTGCCACTGCTCGCCCCACGGGCCACCGTGCTCGGAGATCAGTTTGCTGATGCCCTTGTGGTATGCCGCCGCTGCCTCCACGGGGGTCGGCTGCTCTCCCGGCGGCACGCGGATGGGCCCACATGCAGCACGCCGACCATTTTCCGTTGTGCCGAATCCTAGCGCTTCCGCAGCGTCGGCGCGGGCGCGATCGGTGAGAGGTGGTGCCGGAGGCCCGCCCACACTGCCCGGGTCATGTTCCGAATGGCCAGCCGCACAGGGAGCCAGCCGGCTCTGCGCATCCTCTGCCTCCAGCGATTCTGCCACGCCTTCGCCACGGCAGCGTCGAGCATGGCGTGGTGCGACCTGTCGACGTGGATCGTGAAGCCAAGAGCATTCAGGTACACAGTCCTCACCTCCCACTCGCCGAGCTGCTTCGCGCTCGGGGAGCTCAGCAAGGACGAGTGGGCTGGTGTCTGGCGGGAGGAGGGCTTCAGCTCCAGCTTCCAATGCCTCTGCAAGCTCGACCCGGCGGCTCGCATGAGCTCCGTGGCCAGCTGGGGGTCCGCGCCGGCGGCGTAGCAGTTGTCGGCCCGGCAAGCCAGCAGGACCTGCACCAGCGCGGCAGGCGGGCCGAGGGTGGCAGAGAGCCGCTCAAAGATTGCACTGGTGTCCCCCAGTACGTGCACCACGGGCACGCGGGAGCACATGCCTGCGCTCTTGCTGCCAATCAGGAGGCCTCTCCAACAACAAATCGACAACGTAGGGCAATCCACCGATCTCACCTGGGAGGCCTAGAGCTTCTCTTGGGCGTCGCTTGGTGGGGGGTGATCGTAAAAGGGAGAGACAGGTACCCTTTTTCGGGCCCTACAGGCTCCCTTCTAGGCCTTCTTTTCGGGCCCTTAGGCCACCTTCTGGGCCCCTTTTTCGGGCTTTCGGGCTCCAGAGCCCCCCCTTCTGGGCTCCTTTTTGGGGCTGCGAAGGCCCCCTTCTAGGCCCTAAAGGGCCCCGTTAGGGGCCCAGACGGCCCGTTTCTGTAGCCTCGCTGCCCCCCAATTTATCGCCTCCCCAATTTCGCGTCCTTCGGCCTTCACGCTTCGCGGTTCGGCTCCGATTCCTCGTCATGTTCCTCTTCTCCCCTGGGGGGCGGCGCGAGGGCTCGAAGCTATTCGCGCTCCGCGCAGCGCGAAGCGCGAAGCTAGGCGCCCTTGGAGAAAGGGTCTGGGCTCTCAGGGCAATCCGCCGATCCCACAAGTAAAACGACGCGAAGATCGGGACAAAATCGGATCGGGAGAACTCGAAATCTCTGAGAATCGGCGGGTTTGGAGGATGTATTGGGCGCCGCGCCGCTCCAGAGCGTTCCGGAACGCTCTGAGAGCGCTCCGGAACGGTCTGGAGCGATTTATCCCGATCCTAGCCCTGTTTTAACCAGGGAAGCCTTGATTCCCTCGGCGCCGCTCAGCCGTCCGGGGGCGGGCCGGCGCAGGGAGTGGCGCGAGGGCCCGCCGCCTCCAGGCGCGGCGCGCTTAGCCGTCGCCCTGCGGGCGGGGGCGGGCCGGCCGCGCGTGCTGCTCCCGCGACAAACGCCACCCCAGAGGGCCCGTGGGGGAGGGGGTCCACGTCTGCTTCGCCCGCTGCTGCTGCTGCTGCTGCTGCTGCTGCTGCTGCTGCTGCCTCCTCATCCTCCTCCTCCTCCCCCCCTCCTCCTCCTCCTCCTCCTCTCTCCTCCTCCTCCTCCTCCCTCCTCCTCGCCTCAACCTCTCCTCCTCCTCCTCCTCCTCCTCTTCCTCCTCCTTTCCTCCTCCTCATCCTCTCTCCTCCCCTCCTCTCCCTCTCCTCCTCCTCCTCTCCTCCTTCTCCTCTTCCCTCATCCTCCTCCTCCTTCTCCTCTTCCTCCTCCTCCTCCTCCTCCTTCTCCTCCTCCTCCTCCTCCTCCTCCTCCTCCCCCCTCCTCCTCGTCCTCTCCTCCTCCTCCGCCTCTCCTCCCTCCACCTCCTCCGCTCAACCTCTCCTCTCCTCTTCTTCCTCCTCCTTCCTCCTCCTCCTCCTCCTCCTCCTTCCCTCTCCCTCCTCCTCCTCCCTCCTCTCTCCTCCTCCTCCTCCGCCTCCTCCTCCTCCTCCTCCGCCGCCTCCTCCTCCTCCTCCGCTACCTCCCAACTCCTCCCCTCCTCTCTCCTCCTCCTCTCCTCCCTCCTCCTCCTCCGCCTCCTCATCCTCCTCCTCCGCCTCCTCCTCCTCCTATCTCTTCCTCCTCCTCCTCCTCCTCTCCTGCCTCCTCCTCCTCCTCCTCCTCCTCCTCCTCCTCCTCCTCCTCCTCACTCCTCCTCTCCTCCTCTCATCCTCCTCCTCCTCCTCCTCCTCCTCCTCCGCCTCCTCTCCTCCTCCTCCTCCTCCTCCCCCCCTCCTCCTCCTACCTCCTCCTCCGCCTCCTCCTCCTCCTCTCCTCCTCCTCCTCCTCCTCATCCTCCTCCGCCTTCCCCCCCTATACCTCACCTCTCCTCCTCCTCTTCTTCTTCTCGGTCCCCCTGTTCTCCCTCCTCCTCCTCCTTCCTCCTCCCTTCCTCGCTTCCTCTTATCCCCTCCCCCTCCTCCTCCTCCCTCCTCCTCCTCCTCATCCTCCTCCTCCTCCTCCTCCTCCTTTCCTGTCTCGCTCTCTCCTCCTCCTCCTCGTCCTCCTCCTCCTCCTCTTCCTCCTCCTCCGCCTTCTTCTCCTCCTCCTTCTCCTCGAAGTCCTCTAGGTCCTTGGCGCAACGCGTCCCGCTGCTGCAACACGTGGTACACAAATGGAGAATCAAAACCGAACGGCACACTGACAGGGACCACACTCGCATGAAAGGGAACTATCTGCCGAATTCCTGACCAGTTCATGGGTCGATCTCAACTTTGAGAAGACTCAGCGAGTGGCTCGCAGCTTTGTTCGTAGGCCGGTTGCCACACGGTTTAGCGAGGAGGATCACCTTCTTAGAGCTGAGCGCCCCACATACACTGCGCCACACATGGCCTCAAGCACCATTCCAAAGTCTATGGGAAGGGTGCGCCATTCGGGCGGGTCTGGGGAGACCAGTACACGGAAACGCGGTTATCACGCCTCTCGGCCATTCACGAATGCCACATCTGGCACAGGCGGATCTCTTGCCTACCATGACTGGCTCATGCCCGTTCGGCTCGGACACAAGTTCGAACGGATCAGGAAATTTGAGCCGCTTGGCTCTAAACTTATCAGCATCCTTGAAACTTATCCTAGGCAAGCCTCCCCCGATCCTCGCGATCAAAACGGCACGGCCCCGAACCTGGAAATCCTGGGCCTTGAGCTCGTCCAAACGCCGTGGGGGAACGGGGTGGATCTCAGCGCCTAACTTGGCTAGCCTGCGGTCCTCGCGGTTGCCTCTCCAGGCCCACCAGGCACAACCTCACGCAGACGAATTGGTCAAGGACAGATGGCTCAGAATCGACCGTGATCTGCGCAAATATATCTTCACACTTACGAGACATCTCGCGCCAGAGCTCCGCGTAAGCCACAGGGTCGAGAGACTGATGAGGACCGCCTTGCTAAATCTCAACTACCATCTGGCAGTCACACGCAACAGTGATGGGCTCAACCCCTGCATCACGGATCAGCATTGGGAGGGCGTATTCTTGGGCATAGACAGACTGCTGACAAGGTGGGGCAGGGGCCCGTAGAAAGCCCCGTCCCAGCCTCCATGTCGGTCCAGGGCACCCGATGGAAAACACCACAAGCCCCGACGCTCGCCGTCGCTCGGACGTCCATCGCTGTCGTGCAGTTGTCGGTGTCGTGCGTTGTTTCTATCTCGCAACATGACCCACGATGCTCATCAATGGTCCTCACACGCCCGTGAGATGCCAAGGACAATCTCAGGAAACACCTGGCCGTAGGTGCCCCGACACGCAACACGCAACACGTGGCGCATCGGTACGGAGCTCGACCCGTAGATTGAGAGCGGAGGCCTGACGCGACACGCTCGCCAAAACGTGGGCCAATACGTCGTGCCACCACGCAGCGCATTGACACGGACGCTCCGAGCACAGCACGTGCTGTGTGCCGCAATGGGCGCATCGAGGCAGCTCCGCTCCCGGCGGGGCTGGTGGGGCGCCGTCGGCGCGGACCCCCGCCGCCTGCACCCCCGCCGAGAGGGGCGAGGGTCGGGCCCCATCCAGCCTCCGCGGAGGCGCAAGCCTCGCGGCAGGGCTCGCGGAGCTCGGCGCGCACAGCTCCTCCGGGCGGGGGGGGGCGGCGCCGATCGCTGGTCCTCAGCAGTGCTCGAGCTGACTGCTGCACCTGCAGTGCTCTGCTCGAGCTGAGCTCGGCGGCGAGCGAAGGGGGGACATGAAGAGGAGAAGGCCTTCTCGGAAGGCGGCGGGGCTTCTCATCAGGCCCTCTGAAAACTTTGTCGTGTCTTCGGGGAAGGCCTCGAAAACTTCTCAAAGGCCGGGGGACTTCCGAGCCTTCCGAGAAGGAGAAAGCCGCCCCTTCTCACTTCCCCTCCGGGTGCGCCGCCGAGATGATCCTCAGCAGGGCTCGAGCTAAACAGTGTTTTCCGTTTTCGTTCTGGTTTCGCTTCCTCTCGCCCCGTCGCCGTTCCACCCCTGCTGCAGCACGAGGTCAAAACGAAAACGGTCAGAGACATCGCCCACAACACGGTTTGGCTCGAGCCCTGGTCCGCAGAACGCGCGCCTGTCCCCCGATCATCTTCGACAGACACGACGCAGGGAGTGCCGGCACACGCTGCGCGCCCACGGTGGAGCTGAGCAGGGTGGCGCGCACACCGTGGGCTCGCCACGCGCCCTGGGGGATTGTCGAGCCCAGGGCGAGGCGGCGGAGAGGGGCGCCCACTGCAGCTCGAGCGGCCAGCACGACGCATCCGAGATCTCCCGAGGCCCTCCTCCTTTCCCCGCGCCGTCACGGGCCGCATCCGCCGCGGGCGAAGGAGGGGCCCTCGTCGTCGTCGTGGTCGTGGTCGTGGTCGTGGTCGTGGTCGTGGTCGTGGTCGTGGTCGTGGTCGTCGTGGTCGTCGTCGTCGTCGTCGTCGTCGTCGTCGTCGTCGTCGTCGTCGTCGTCGTCGTCGTCGTCGTCGTCGTCGCGTCGGGGGGGGGGGAGGGTGCGGATCAGAAGGAAGGGCCCTCCCCTCGGGGGCCCCTCCCAGCCCCTCTCAGGACGGCGAAACCTGTATGTATCCACTGCTCCCTGGCCAGGCCCATACTCAACCCAGCAGCGGGGCATACGCCACGCCCTTCTTGGCTCGGCCATGAGGGCGTACACAAAGCTCCTGGGTTCAAGACGGGCCTGGCCAGGAGCAGTGGACATGTATAGATTCGACAACGACGAAGCCGACGACGACGACGCCGACGACGCCGACGACGACGACGACGGCGACGGCGGCGGCGACGACGACGACGACGAAGACGACGACGACGACCACGACGACGCTGACGACGACCATGACGATCTTCGGCCGTGGGCTTTGCCAAACCAGATGCCCGAATGCAACAGGGCGCATCGGCACAGGCCCGCCCGGCGACGCGGCGGGCGCCCGGCGCCCTCCGTGCACGGCACGATCGGCAGCGGCAGCGGCACGAGTGGCGGCCGATCGGCGCCGAAGGCCCGCCGAAGGCCGAGCGTCGCGCGGGCGCGCGGACGGGGGCGCGCGCCGGATGCGCGCCCCCCAGGTCGCGTGCGCCCCCCACAGTCAAGGCCGATAGTGGGGATGCACGATCAGGTTGCAAGCCCCTTGGACGCCCAATGTCGGAGCTTTTCGAGCGGGGCTGGCCATCGATAGCGACTGAGCGTGGACCGAAGAGGCAAGGATGCAAGGGCACCCTTGATGTTCATACTATGGACTTCGACTGTGGAGCAGACGCGTGCGACAAGACACGTGGCTGTCAGATAGTTTGCGGCCCGATCTGCGCCGACCTCCGTGGGCCGCGGTGGAGCACTGGCGCGGGGCGCGCCGGCAGGCCGACTGTGCCTGCTGCGCCCCTCTTCGAGGCTCGAGGCCACGCGCCGGGCTCTGGGTCGGGCATGTCCCCCTACAGGCGGATTGTAGACGAGACATGGACAATAGCCCCCCGCAAAATGTTTCAGAATCGTCAAACCTGAGCAGCAAAACGTCCCCAGACTATTTTTGGACAATTTTTGAATATTCCTCCTGTGGAGGGCCACGCCCGGTTCGCCTTCAGCTAGCCCGCTCGGGCGGCACTGGTCGCCCGGAGCGGGGAGTGAACTCAAGGTGAACCCGAGACTTATGTTGCTCCCGTCGTACTTAAGGACCACATCCCAGAAATAATTTCGAGCACCCGGAAAAGCGTCGAAAGAGTGTCGGAATAGTGTCGAAACAGTGTCGGACGAGTGTCTTCCAGGGCCCGACACGTGAAACCCTTGAGTTTCTGGGTACTTTTCTGGCGCTCAAAATTCTTTCTGGCGATCAAGGCTGAAGCAGGTTGGATCATCATAACCCGAGACGGGCCACAGGCGCCGGGCGTCAGGTGGCACAGCACTTCCCTTCCCATGGAGCGAAGGAGGGCAGACGAGATGGGGACCGTCGACCAGACGGGTGGTTGAGACAGAGCAAACCACCAAACAACGCAAAAGCAAAAGATGTTCGACGGTCCGCGCGGATTTCTTGGATCCGCGCTGAACCCCCCTTCCTGGTGCGCGGGGCGTGTCAAGGCCGGCGCTGGAGACGCCGCCAGGGGGTCCAGGTGCCGACGCAAGAGTTCCGCGCGGAGCTCCGAATGTTTTTGTTTATGTCATTCTCAATCCTTCGAAGACACGGACTCTGGCCTTGAGCGCCCGCTTGCTTGCCGAATGAGGACGAGGAAGAGGGGGAATAGCAGGAGGAGAAGGATCTCCATCAGCATTCGCTCTGGTCATGCTTCTGACGCCGTCCACGCTGCCTGGCCAGGCCAGCACGGAAGGGAACGGCTGACGTCCCACGAGGTGCCCGCTCCGAGGCCGGTGCTCCTCCACGCTGCCGGCCCAAAGGTCCAACTCACCAAGCACCTGCCCGTCCACGAGCAACCTCTTGCACCCTCGGAGCCCCCCCTCGCCCTTATCCCCCACATGCCCCCCCCCCAGTCCCCCCCCCCCTGTCTTCCCCCTCCCTGGCCCAACTTCCCTCCCCCCCCCCCCCCCCCCCCCCCCCCCCAGTCCCCCCCCCCCCCCCCCCCCCCCGGTCCCCCCCTCCCCCCCCTCCCCCCATCCCCCGCCGGGGGGTCTCCCCCCCCCCCCCCAGTTCGCTTCCGCCGGCTGCAGCGCGCGCGCGCGGGGCACCCCGCCCACCCCCAGCCCTCCCAGCGGCGCTGCGTACTCTCCACGACCTCGGTCGCCAGGCCCAGCTCCACCGCTCGCCTCACGTCGGCAACGGGACGGGCAGAGCACCACCGGCAGGGCGAGGGCAGCACCGCGGTGGGAGAAGAGAGGCACGGCCGGGGTTGTATGAGAGGCAGCGTTCGAGGGGGGCCAGGACCGGCTCAGGGAGGGACACCTCGACCTGGAATCGGCGACGCATCATAGCAGATCGGCGATAAGTCCCCGACAGCGACGCAGCATAGCAGATCCGCGATCGGCGATCATAGCCATTGCAGATCCTCCTCACTTTTCGCCGCCGCCCACGCCGCCGCTGCCGCCGCCTACGCGGCAGCCGGCACCTCGCCTCCGCCGTACTCGCGCCGCCGACCGCAGGCCCCCCTTCCCTCCTCCTCCTTCCCCCCCCCCCCCTCCCCCTTCCCCCCCCCCTTTTCCTCCTCCTCCCCCTCCCCACCCTCACCCCTGCCCTACTCCCTCCCCCCCCGCCCCCTACTCCCCCCTCCCCCCTCCCACCCCCCTCCTCCCCCCCCCTTCCCCTCCCTCCTCCTCCTCCTACCTCTCCTCTCCTCCTCCTCCTCCTCCTCCACCACCTCTTCCTCCTCCTGGCCCTCCCCCCTCTTCTTCCTCCTCCTCCTCTCCTCCTCCTACTCCTCCTCCTCCTCCTCCTCCTCCTCCTTCCCTCCTCCTCCTCCTCCTCCTCCTCCTCCTCCTCCTCCTCCTCCTCCTCCTCCTCCTCCTCCTCCTCCCCCTCCCCCTCCCTTCACCTCTTCCTCCTCCCCTCTTCCTCCGGTACGCCCGTGGAGAACTGCACGAGCGACGATCAGAAAAAGGGGTCTGACGCGAGCTGGCGTGGCGAGCTGACGCCGCAGCTTGTGCGGGCCGCCCGCGCGGCACGCTGCTCCGGAGACGAGGGGGCGCTTGCGCGCGACCTTACGCGGGCAACTTACGCGCCACTGTCGGCGAGATGGAGCCCGCTCTTTGGCGTCCCTCGCATGCCCCGACCGGCCCCCTTCGGCTATACGCAAGAGTGACCCTGGGTAAGAATGACCTTTGGTGCGCGGCTTTTTGGGGGCCGCGGGGGGACCAAACCTGGGCGCGCAAGCCGCTGCTCCTACTTCGCTTTCAGCCACCTGGGGGCCCATCTGTGCCCGCACCAAAGGTCACTCCGGCGAAAGGCCACTCTTACGTCGAGTCGACTTTGGCGTCCCTCACACGCCCCGACCGGCCCCCTTCCTCTCCGCCCCCCTGCTGGTCCTGCGGCGCTGCCGCGCCGCTGCTCCTCGCTGCGCCCGCGGACCGAGGAGGCTATCCTCTCGCTTTTCCCAGCCTGCCGACCGAAGTCCGCCCCAGCTCGGTCCCTGGGCCCCTCCTGGGATCCAAGGGATCGGTTCCTGGCGGCCCGGGTGCATGACAAGCTGGCATCCCGACGCCGAGAGCTACGATGATCCGCGGTCCTCGAGCCCCGATGCGGGGGGGGGGGGGGGAAGGGCGGGGACAGGCTCCCCCAGTGCCTCTCTCGCTCGTACCCTTCCTGCGGGGGTACTGCGAACTGCGTAGCCGTCGCCACTTTCGTGGGCTCCTGGGAGCCCGGCGGAGGTGATGGCAGCGCAGATCACTTCGAGACCTTGCGGCTGCGAGCTGCGCAACCGTCGCCACTTTCGTTTGCTCCTGGGAGGCCCGGCGGCGGTGAGGGGAGCGCAGG